AGGATGGAGACCAAGGCAGGTTCCGCGAGACTTCTTCAGAGGGAGAATATTCCAGCCTTGGGAGACAGAAGCCACATGCTGTGTCCTCAAATGGTGGCATAGGGCCACCCTGGAGCCATGGCCCAGCATGTAACCAGAGATGATAGTTTATAATCTCCTTTTCTGGGATGGCTGTCCTCCTGGTGCCTCCCATACTCCATGTTAATCATCTGTAGTCTTATGTCTTTGCTTAACAGGGCCATTTCTCCCAAGTTTAAAGTACAATTTACATTTGAGAGGCTTGTGTCCTTCTAATGGATTCCTAGTTGTGCAAGGAGTTTATCAGCGAAGGTATTTCCCCATTCACAGACTCACCAACAGACCATTCTGCACCATCTTTAGTCCCACACTCCGCTGTGCTATGCATAACAAACTCCTGATCTCATGCAAGTGCATGTTTCTGCAGGTTGGGAGCAGCTCCAGCATGCTCTGATGACCTCTTTGAGCTCCCCGTTTATGCATCTCCCCATGCATCAACATAGTGTCCTGAATCAGGGTCATCTCATCCCTCTCTCAGTTCACCTGGTGCACCAAATGCAAGCTCTTCAATATAGCCTTTAGTAATTTCAGTCATTTTAGTTGAGGATATTGTTGGCACCTGCTCACATGTCAGGCTACAGAATTGAGTGACAAACATCACCACCACCAGAAGGCTTTTTGCAGTAATGGAAAACAACCTTTTATCTGCTTTTACAAGTCTTTTTTTTTTTTCAAATCTGAAAATAGCATCAGCATCATCTTATCATGACCAATTATTTAATAGCTCTCCAAGCAAAAAATAGTCCTTCCAAACCTACATGGCTATGTACATTTCTTTCCAGTGGCTATCTTACTGGATTAAGATGTATTGCTGACTGTCCCCTCTTGCAAACTGACCTAAGAATCCCTTGGGAGAAGTTTATAACTTGCACCCTTTAATTTTGTATTTGCAATTTAAGGACCTTCTCCTCTGCCTGGGTGAGCTGGAGCAGGTTTGGGAGCTTTGACTGTTGCTGCTGGATGGGACCCAGAGCGGTGGGGCTGCCTGTCCCTGCTGTCACCTCCCTCACCAGCAGCATGGAGCTGCAGGCTAGGACAGCAGGTGGAATTAAGGGAATGCTGTTGGAGGCAGAGCCCAGGAAGGGCCTTTGCCCTGAAATGGGGGAGATCTTCAGTGTCAATAAATGTAAAGCCCCCTATTCTGCCTGGTGAGGCAGGTTCCCTGGAGCTGGCGCCTGCTTGAAGGACCCTCTGCAATCCGCAAGCCGGCAGATCCCGGAGCAGCGGGGAGAGCTGTTTGTTTAGACCTATGTGGGTTAGGCGGCTCAGACTTTATTCTTGCACTTTGATAGGTTCCTAAATGAAAATCCAATAATAATTTAAGCAGAACGAGTTCCCATGAAAGTCATTTCTAAATCGCCCGGCTCATCCTACCTGTCGGCTGGATTCTCCATCCCCAGTGGCCTAAGCCGGGCGTCACGGCGCCGCTCCGGGGGCTGTTACTCCAGGAGCAGAGTCCGGCCAGGCCGAGGCAAACGCCAGCTCCTGCTGCCCTTTAATGGACATGTAAATAGATGGGAGGCTGATGAGGAGAGCAACCTCTCAGTTAGGAAGTTCTCCAAAGCAGCTCAGCAGAAATAATACTTTATTCCTGGTGGTGCAAATAACTGATATGCGCCGGCTAAGAAGGGTTCATGCAAATATTCCTGAATTAAGCTCCGTCTGAAGTTAGAAAGGAAAGATGATAAACACACCCGGCTTTAAAACTGCAAAATATGCTTTGCAGGCATGAAACTGGAGGAGTAACAAAACTATCTGACATCATATTAAACAGCAAAGCATTTCTTATTCTCAAGGCTGCAGTTACCTAAAACCAGAGTCCCATTAAAGAGCCCTAACTATTATTTACATTTCTAAATCTTAAAACCATTAACAAAAGCCACTTAATTCAATTACTTTCCCTGGGCGCCAATGTTATTACATTATTGTCATGGTCTCGAGTTTGGCTCTGGATTTCTCTCTCTCTTTTTTTTTTTTTAATTCATTCCTCTTTTCTCCTCACCAAGTGCCTCCTCCCCACCTCCCTCTCCTCCTCTCCCCCAATGTCATTGTGTAGAACTAATGGGGTAAACTGAAATGGTATCTGTCCTCATTGACAGGTTTATGAGAATTTAATAAAGCGTGGCGCGGATAAAATGAGATATTACAAGGCCACACAAAGCTGATTGACTTCTCCACGTCAGCATTTTTATTTGGTTATTTATTTATTTCTTCTCAACGCCAGGGTGATCTCACCAGTTCTTCAGCGCTGCCGGCCCACGGGAGACGCGAGGGGGAGGGAAGGTGTGGGAGGCAGCAGGAACTGACCGACTGATGAGTTGGTTCATTTTAAAGAAGGACCTGCTATGAGGTGGGTTTCTGGTGGCACCAGGAAGATGAAATGGCAGGAGACCAGCAAGGGCTCCTCTGTGGCTGCTTCTGTTGCTCAGACCCCTTGGACCTCCTTGGGGCCTGGGGCGAGCTCTCTCCAAGCTGTGACATGAGATGAGGATAAAATGGTCCATGCTGTGGACCCTCCCCAGACTGAGGTGCAGGAGGGCTTACATCGGTCAATGCAGAGACTGATCAAATCTGCCCTAGGACCCAGAGGGTCTCCAGGAGGGAGAATCCTCCTCCTGCCATCGGGAAACTCCTGCAAGCAGCTCCCGGCCAGGCGCACGTCTGCTCCTGGCCTCAGCTTCTCCCTCTGTCCAACGCCTCTCCTGCCCTTTTAAATGTTAAATGGAGATTGACAGATCAAACCTTCCCTCTGGGAGCACTGGGAATATCTGGGTGTACACGTAAGTGCGGATGCTCCCATCCGATGGCAAACACGGAGAGCTGCCAGGCCTGGAAATCGGGCCTGTGCGGTGCCTGGCTGCTTGTCTCCCTCTCCTGGCCTGTTCGGAAAGTGAGGCCCAGAAAAAAAACACCAACCTGTTCCAGGTGTGTGTTTTTCCAGGCAAGGAAAAGTTGTGCTGGTGACCCAGGAGATCTGGTTTCAGCCCAGACACTGAGAGACACAAACGTGCTCAGGACCCCACTTAAATCTTGATCCCAAACTACGGAAGAGTGTTTCTTTGTAAGAAGATTGTCAGGATTAAACCCGGCTCCTGTTAGACTCAACATTTGGCCTGTGGTGGCTTGAAACTCAAATAATTTCTGCCGTTTCCCCCACTCCTTCTCTGTTCAATCAGAGAGTGGCAGAGAGGCCCTTGCACGTTCTGAAGCGCAGGGAGCTCTGCACACAGCGAGGCCAGAGCTGGCAGGGCAGACCAGCACCCCACGGGTTCGAGCCGCAGCCCCAGGCACCGGCACCAATGCCAGCCGCAGCGGGTCGAGCACCGTGGGTGCCAGGATCAACACCTGGGCCATCCTCCTCAGCAAAAGCAGACAAGCCAGGAGGGACTGACAGTAAATCTTCCGTCATTTTTTAGGAGGACTTAAATCACCTGAAATTGAAGTGTTGCTCTCTACAAATGCTCAAGTTGTCCCATCACCCAGAGAGACAGAAAAGAGGCTGCTGCCTCCTTCCGTACTCACTGCACGAGCCGCGTGCAGGCTTACAGGGTGCAAAAGCCTCTGGAGCCCCAGATTTAAGGCAGGCCAGCAGCTCAATCCTGCTCTCTGGTGGCTCTCACCCGAAAGGCCCTGTCGCATCCAGTAGCCTTCTCAGAGGACCAGGCCACCACTGCTTGTGACCCCAGTAACGGGTTTAATGGAGTCAACAGACCCTGAGCAGCATCCTATAAAGACCAGGTTCATACTGTGCAGTACTCAGGGACATTTCACCCTCTTCTCCATGCTGGCCACACTCCGGATGAAGTTTTAGAAACAGAGATGACCCCCTATTTTCTTCTCTGAAATGCAGCACTAAAGCAAAAGACATGGTCAAACTTGTCCCCCCTCTTCAGGTTTGCTGCCTTGGCTCAGCTCCCCCAGAGTTGCTCAGGATGTAAATGTATGTAAATCTTTGGCAGTATCCACAATAGCCCCCTATCTCCTGCTCTTTTTCTCTCTCCAAGCAGCTGGAGTAATTACAGTGTAGCAGTGCCAACATGAGGCATTTCTGCTGATGAATGCACTCAAGCTAAGCACAGTTTTATGTATCATTAATTCAAAAAAATAACTTTTTTGATGGCAGATAATACTGTAATCACTCACAATTGCCAATACAATTATCTTCATTCAGCTGTGTAAAACAACTACAGGAGTAATTTTAGTCACTTAAATTTCCTTTCTCCCTCTTTTATTTTCTTATTTTTTAATGTTCACAGGAAGTTCAAGGCTGCTTGGACTCAGGTTGCTGCGACAGTCACTACCCACTCCCTGACCTGCACAGAGAGGAGAAGGTTTCAGAGCCAGCCCTCTGCCCCTCATTTGCAAGTTAAGCTTAAGATGGTTTAAGCAATCTTAGGGATCTCCCAAAGGGTCCCAACATCCTGGACACCTCCCTGCTAATCACTTTCCTGACGTCCCATCAAGCCACCACATAACAGCTCTTCCATGTTACATATGGAGCAGCCAGCTAAGGGTAAAAAACACTTACAAAATGCCACGTCCCCAAATGCTCTTCTGGCTAACAAGCTGCAGATTTTAATAGGCCAAGTGAAGAGGAATGTCTCCTCTCAAAGACATTTTGAGAGGCCCTGGTGTTGCTAAGGGAGCCCTGACACTTTTCACAGGCACAGAAACCGAGCAGTGACAAGGAGGGTCAGCACAGCCGCTGAGTTGCATTCCAAGTTTTATTTCCATAGAGGGGGAAGTGGGGATTTGCATATCACAGAGCGGTGAGCTTAACCTGGGTGATCGGTTGGCTTTGGTCCTCTGTTGACATGCCACCTTCAGCTGCCTGTGTCTGCACATGAGGCTCTGAGACACTGAGCTGTGGATCCCTCTCTTCATCCCTCCAGGGTACCTGTGTTTGCACATCAAACTCTAACTCACCATGGTGGCTGTGGGTCCCTCTCTTCATCCCTCGGGGGTACCTGTGTCTGCATATCAAGCTCTGACTCACCAGTCTGTGGGTCCCTCTCTTCGTCCCGCTGGGATGTCTGTGTTTGCACAGCAGGCTCTGCCTCACGAGACTGCAGGCTCTCTCTTTTGCCAGGTGGGCGAATCAGGATTGGCCCTTCATTCTCCTCATCTGACCAGGACACCAGTGTTGTCACATCAGGTTGAGATGATGTTTTTACAGCACTCTGCTTCTCTGATGTTGACACGAGAGGCTGGGGTGATGACGTTTGCCCATCACTCTGAATGTCTGCTTGGAGAACAGCTGTTTGCACGTCATCGCCCTGGTTCTCGGCGATGGTGGTTTGCAAGGCTGTTCTTTCCTCTGTTGGGCTCTCCTCTGCCTTGCTGATTGTGCTGGACACCTCTGGCAATGTGCTACTTGCCTTTAGGGGCTGCCAAGCCACAGAGGCTTCTCCCAGGGAGACCTCATTCAGTTCATGTCTCTGGACTGTGCTAGCCCCTGAATCATGAGTTCTCTCTTTCTTCTCATAGGTCAGTCTTTCAACCTCTTTCATGAACCGAAGGCACAGCTCCTCCTGCCATGGTAAAGCCACACACTGGACAGCCACAGGCAGCCCTACAGCTCCTTCCACTGCCTAAAACAAATGGAGAGCAGAGAAGCCTGACAGGGGATACTCAAAAGCTGAAGATCTAACATATCCACAAGCTCTGGTGGAAGGAAGGTTTCCAGGACCTTAATGAACATACCACAGAGCAGGAGCCACACACAGGAGCACTGTCCTGACCCAAGGTCCTTGGGAAAAAGAAAGTCAGGCTACCTCTTCTTGAAAGAGGTGGAAGTGTCCTCTTCTCTGGCAGCCAATCCAGACCTGAACTGGTCCCATATCCAGCAATTTATGATGTCACCAGCAGCAAACACTTGTGAAAGTGTTTGGACCTTGCCACCAAACCAGCTCAATGGGATCAGGCTATAACAAGCCAAAGACAGACTAGCCAAGCCTTAACACTAACATCTCAGCAAAGGAAGACAATAGAAGAGCAAAGACCCCATGTATTTAAATTGTGCCAGGTTTGGGGCTGCATGACAGCAGCCGAGGTTTTCACAAAGCATGACCGCATAGTCCAGTTGGGATTACTATGATCTGACAAAGTGAGCTCTGAAGCAACAAGTTTGTCCTAAACTGCCCAAGCCCTGGAAAGAACCCATCCTTCTCACCTTCCTCAGTCCCCTGTCCCAGGGTTCATCCAAGTATCCACTGTAAAGCTGCAGCTGTTCTTCATCTGCCTCTGTGACCACGGTGACAGGCACGACTCCCACGGGGAAGTTGAGGATGTTGTACAACATAGTGGAGGACAGAGCATCTGGGAAAGAGGGGGGGGC